TATCTTCTCCTGGTTGTAAATTTTTCAGAATACTGGGAAGACTCTTTATGTTGTGGATTAGGACTACTAAAGTTTTTCCAAGCTTTTCTTGAATGAAGTTTACAGTCCTTGGTTTTAGTCCTAGGTCCATGATGCACCTTGAGTTGGTTTTTGTATATGGAGTGAGGTGGGGATCTTGTTTAATTCGAGAAGATAATTTTTAACTTGTTGAGGTTTGCTTTATGTTCTAATAGATAGTTGATTCTGGGGAATATACTGTGTGCACTTGAGAAGATAGTAAATTGATTTTTTAATTGGGTGAATTACCCTGTATATGTGTATGCGATCAAGTTAGCTGATGATATAGTTTAGTTTGCCAACATTTTTGTCAAGTTTCTTTTAAATTCACCTGTCCTTCCTTTGGTGAGAGTGGTGTATTGAAGTCTTCTACTACTATTGTGGTGTTCTCTCTTTCTTCAAGTCTGTTAACCATTGTTTTGTGTATTTTGCAAGTCTATAGTTAGAAATATACATAGATGTTGACTAAGGATATGTGTTCTTGATCTATTATTCTTTAATAATAATGCAGTGTACTTCCTTATGGTGGTTTTTGTCTTGAAGTTTGTGTGTGTGTGTGTGTGTGTGTGTGTAAGGACTAGTTACATTATTATTTTAAATTGTATATTGGCTTGCATAAAAATATACATTGCTCTTCATGCACGCCTCTATTTATGTTGTATTTCATATTATCATTCCTATTCACAGTGTTTTATAAAATTATTCACTATTGATCCATGGCCACCATCTTCAATTCTCCCTGGATCTTTCCTCATTCCTTCACCCCTTCACTTTGCCCATCAAACTCTGTAATCTCGAGATTTTCCCTCTTCCCTCCCCTTCTTTGGACTTCAGCACACATCTTCTATTTTTACAATAATGGTCTTATGTAATATTTGTCCTTATGAGACTATGTTAGTTCCCTCAGCATAATGTTCTCCAGCCTTTTCTATGTTTTATAATATTTTTCAAAATTATTGTTATTAATATTCCTTCATGTGAGTGTACCATAATTTTTCAATTCATTTCTTTGTTGATGGACATTTTGAGTATTTCCATCTTGTTGTTACTGTTAATAATAACTTCTATGAACATCAGTGTACAAATCTTTGATTGTGTATTAGTTCTGTTTTTCTCGGGGTATATAAACTATATAGTCAGCCAGTTGGACCTTGTGGATATATTCAGGATACTGCACGCAACTAAAAGTGAATTTTTCTTCTCAATTGCACCTGGTTTATTCCAAAATTGACCACATACTAGGACACAGAGCAAGCCTCAGCAGATTGAAAACATTGAAATCATACAAAGTATCTTCTCAGACCACAATGCCATAAAAGTAGGTATTAACAACAAGCAGATAAAAGCTTATAAAAGGACCAATGCAGAAGCTAAATAGCACCCTGCTATAGTACAGTGATGGTCTGGAAGAAATAAAGAATTAAATAAGTTCCTTGAAACAAATGATAATGAAAAGATAACACACCAAAACTTCTAGGATTTAGCCAAGGCAGTCCTCAGGGAACAATTCACAATAATAGGCAAATACATAAAAAGAGAAAAAAGAAGCAAAATCAATGACTTAACATCTCCATCAAATAGAAAAAGAACAACAGTCTAACCCCATATCCTTTAGAAGAAAGGAAATTATAAGGATAAGAGCTGAAATCAGTGAGATAGTAAACAGTTGAAACCATCAGCAAGTCTAAGAACTGGTTCTTGTTGTTGTTGTTATGTGCCGTCGAGTCACTTGCGACTCATAGCGACCCTATGTACAACATCCCTAAACTCCGCTCTGTCCTGTGCCAGTCGCACTGTCTCCGACACTCCCATCCCAATTATCCCAGTCACTGTTCTTAGAAAAGGAATAAAATAGATAAACCATCGGCAAACTTAACAAAAGAAAAGAAAGGGAAGACAAAGATAACTAAGAAATTACAGAGGTAACATCACAACAGAACCAAATGAAATTAAATCAGTAATATCAGAATATTATGAAAAGCTATACTCAGATGTATTTGAAAACCTAGAGAAAATGGACAAATTCATTGAATTCATGCTACCCAGATTAACACAGACAGATGTAGAACACTTGAACCGACCATCACAAAAGAAGAATTTAAGCAGGTCATAGAAAGGCTTCCCCCAAGAAAAAGTCATGGTGCAGCTGCCTTCACAGCCAAGTCCACTAAACAAACATTCAGAGACTTTGTCACCAATTATACTTAAATTGTTTTAAAAAATTAGCACCACAACAAGGTAATGGTAAATAATACAATAGAAAAATGGGCACAGGATATGAATAGACACTTCACCGAAGAAGACATTCAGATGGCTGACAAGCACGTGAAGAAATGTTCGAAATCCCTAGCTCTAAGAGAAATGCAAATCAAAACAGCTATGAGATATCATCTCACCCCAGTCAGAATAACAAATTTAACAGAACAGCAAGCAACAAATGCTGGCGAGGTTGTGAAGAAACTGGAACCCTTATTCACTGTTGGTGGGAGTGTAAAATGGTGCAACCACTGTGGAAGGCAGTATGGCGCTTTCTCAAAAAGTTGCAGATAGAGATACGATTTGACCCAGCAATTCCACTACCGGGAATATACCCTAAAGAGATCATAACTGACATCCAAGCATATATATTAACATCCATGTTTATTGCAGCTTTGTTCACAATAGCAAGGAGTTGGAAACAACCCAAGTGTCCATCAACAAACGAATGGATAGAGAAGCTGGTGTGTGTGTGTGTGTGTGTGTGTGTGTGTGTGTGTGTATTTCTCTTGCAAAGGCAAGAGAATTAGGGTGCTAACTGAAAGTAACTGATGAATTTTAAGGGAAGTTTTATTTTTGTAAATGGTGAAGGACTTGCACATACTTAAATGATGATGGGAAGGAGCTCACAGATTGGAATATGTCATAGGTGCAATAAAAGGAGTGGATAATTGTACCTTAATATTTCTGGAAAAAATATGGAATTCAGAGCCTGACCACCTTTATATAGAATGTATAGCCTTGGCCACATGGAGAAATGCCTACCTCCTTACCAGGGTAGCAGAGAGCTTGTTTGGGTTTTGATACCAGGAGTTGAAGGAGTTCTTACTTGGAGCTTGTATTTCACAGTGAGTTAGAAACTGAATCTACTGCTACAAGTGAGACTAGTTGGGAGAGAGGAAAGTGGGAAGATATGGGGACAGAAGAAAGACAGTTCTAAGAGCCCACATAAAAAAAAAAAAGAAAGAAAGCCCGACCAGGAGCTTCCCCAGTACCACATTCAACGTCACCACCTTCTCTCCCCCAGTGTAGTTTGTGGGATAGTCTGACTAATGCATCTATGGACTATAGATGAGAGACAGTGTTGGGAAGATATTTTACAAATAAACTGTCTGGGCTTTTCTAGGCTAAAGGGATTTAATATTTCTATGGAGGTCCAGGCTGACATCTGGGAACCATTCCTTTTGTTCTGCTCCCTACTTAGACTTGGTGGAATTACTTACCCTGGAGTCCTTTGTGGTATGATAGACTGGAGGTGATCTTTTTCCACTCAGAATTCAGAATCTTCTTTCCTTTTACCTACCAATGTGATGCTTCTTCTGTAGTTCTCACTTGCAGCTACTGTTCTTCCCCTATACCACCCGAAGCTTGAGAGGAAATCACTAAGCCATTGCATGCCTGTGCTCCAGGTCGGGCTCAGGTCAGGAAGGGAGGAATATGTTGGCTCTCTTATAAGGCCTTTAACAAAAACATGTTTTTTCTGCTTCCCTTTTCATTTAGGCTCGAAGAAATCGAGAAATAGCCATTTTGCTCCGCAAAATTGATGAGGTGCCCAGCCGAGCAGAGCTAATACAGTATCAGAAGAGATTTCTTGAACTCTACCACCAAAGTAGGTGCATCAACTGTGAACAAGGTCTGAGAGGGACCAGAGGCAGAGAGGGGCTTAGTCCACTTGAATGTGATGATTGATAGACCTTGAAGGCCATCTAGTGGGTAATCCTTTTAGTAACACTGCAAAGCCCCCAGTGCTTTTTACAAGGATGAGTCTTTACATGAAGATAGCTTTTAGGGCAGCATTTCAAACCAACACTCTTTCTGATTAGCCCTTCTCCCGTGCTCTGGATTTTCCTGAACTTACAGGAAACATCTCACCATTCTTTTCATATTTTGCTGTTTTGACTTGACCTTTAGTAGTCCAGACATGGATCTCCCTCAGCTTGAAATCAATGTTCAGGTGTTTCTAGGCTCAGAATGGCATTCTAGGGCCACAGAGTTGGCATTTGTTGTGTTCAGATTGCTCCTGTAATGCCTGTTACAACAATATATCTCTGCTAAAATACCACTCGCTCAATTGCAGTCTCACCTGCAATTTCTCGTCCAGACTTCTGTTCATGCTGTGTCTTTCTCCCTGCCAACACAGTTTCAAGAGCCTTTGGAGGTCCTCTCCACTCTTGGCTGCCTGTCTTTGAAACCTGTTTTCTGATCTAAGTCTTCCCTAGTCTGTATACTATTGTATAGCATGTAACATGCTTTCACATCTTTTACCTTGACTTGTCCTGTGTCGTGGGCCTGGGATTCCTTCTCCTCTGTTACCCTTCAAGACTTAGCTAATTTATCTACTTTAGGTAAGAAAGAATCATCCCTTTTTCTGGGCTTTTATTCTTACAAGTCACCCTGAAACCTCAGAGCAATAAGTATAAACTGAAGCTAAACTTTCCTCTTGCCAAGTCTCTCCTACTTCCCCTTTTCCTTTAATTTACTGTTACTAATGTTGAGTGGTAACAACCTGGATACTTCTTTGTCATCTCTTAAAGAGGATTATGGTCACTTCCTGCTCATCTCTGCCCACCACTGCCAGAGTCTTAACACTTCTCTGTGTTCTTGACTGAGTCACTATACCAAAAAGAATTGGATAACAGAAGAATTTAATGAAACAACATATGATCAAGAGGTTGTGGTGGTGATGAAGGTGGATGTTCAAGCTGCTCTGAAGGAGTTGGCAATAAACAAGGCCCCACAAATTGACAGCACACCTATTGATATATTTGAAAAGTTACTGCCTGGGATGCATTTACCAAGTTGTGCTAGGAATTCTGGAGGACAACCACCTGCCCAGCTGACTGAAAGAGATCTTTATTTGTTCGCATTCTAAAATAATGGTGACCTGACAGAGTACAGAAATTATCGAACAGTATCATTAATATAACATGCAAGGAAGATTTTGCTGAAAAGTGTCAAAAACTACTTCAACACATCAACAGAGAACTGCCAGATGTTCAGGCTGGGTTTAGAAGAGGCCGTGGCACTAGGGATATTTTTGCCAAAGTTAGATGGAGCTGAGCTGAAAGCAGAGTACCATAGGAATGTCTGTCTCTGTTTCATTGATGACACAAAAACATTTAACCATGTGGATCACTGAAAAAAAAATCTGTGGCTAATTCTGAGAAGAATGAGAATCTCAGAACACTTGATTGTGCTTGCACAAAACCTATACTTAGTTAGACTATGAGGCAGTCATCAAAACAGAACAAGGAAACAGTGTGGTTAAAATGACGAAAGGTGTATGCCAGGAATGCATCCTATCTCCATACCGTTTCAATCTAAATGCACAACAGATTGTTTGGGAGGCTAGGAGGAGGAATGTGGCATCAGGATTAGAGGAAGACTCGTCAACAACCTGTGTTATGCAGATGACACTACTTTGCTTGCTGAAACTTAGAACCTAAAGCACTTGCTGCAGAAGGTCAAGGACTGCAGCCTTCCATATGGATTGAAGCTCAACATCAGGAAAAGAAAGGTTCTCACTGCTAGGCCAGTTGGCAACATCATGATAGATGTTGAAGAGATTATTAACAGCTTCAGCTTGCTTGGCTCCACAAGCAACACTCTTTGTACCAACAGCCAGAAAATCAAAAGAGTAATTGCATTGGGAAGATTTGGTGTTGGGTACCTATCCAGAGTACAGAAGAGCAACGGTGTCAGTCTAGAGACTAAGGTGTGCCTGGTTCAGGTCTTTACAATTACTTGCTATGCATCAGAGAGGACAATAACTAAGGATGATAGAAGAAGAATTGATGCCTTTGAGTTGTGGTATTTGTCCTATGAGCTGTTTCCTAGAAACATCATCCTGTGATTTCCATGTGGCACATTCCAACTCAGAATCTTAAACTCTTCCTTGAGATTAGGTCTCTTATGCACTCTTCCTGGTAAAGTTCAAGCACTGTCCTGTCATTGAAAACCCTTGCATTTGATAAAAATGATCAGAAACAGAGAACAGTGGCAGTTGGTTTCTATGAGATTTTTAAACAGAAAATAGTTTCTATCATTTTCTAACCCTGCAAAATTATTATTGGCAGTAACGATAGTTCCTTAATTGTTACAAGATAAAAAAAGAAAAAAACATAAATAACATCTATATATATGGATCTTACCTGATGGATTACATGTGATGAAAGTGACTACATCTGTGGAAAAAGGCCATAGAAAAACTCAAGATCCTTAATATGAGACTGAGTGTGGAATAGACCATGAATTGCTCATATGCATGTTCTAACTGAAGCTGAACAAAATTAGAACAACTCCACAAGAGCCAAATAAACCTTTAGTTTATTCCACCTGAATTTTAAAAATAGCTCAAAAATAGATTTAATACATTAATCTGTAATGGCAGAAGACCAGGCAAGTGACATCAAGAACATCATCAATGATAAGCAAAACATTATGAAAAGAAATAGTACACCAAAATGGATGTTAAAAAAAAAGACTCTGAGTCATTCTGTGAAGCAAACATAACCCTAATACCAAAACCAAGCAAAGATATTACCAAGAAAGAAAACTACAGACCAATATTGTGCTGATGAATATTGATGTAAAAATCCTTAAGAAAATCCTAGCTGATAGAATCCAAAAGCACATTAAAAAAAATAATAATCATTCATTCATGACCAAGTGGGATTCATAACAGGTATACAGGGAAGGGCCAACATAAGAAAAACAATCAACATAATTCACTATATTAACAAAGTAAATAACAAGAACCAATATGATCTTAGCAGTTGATGCAGAAAAGGCGTTTGACAAAATCCAACATCCTGATAAAGACACTCAGCAAAATTGGAATAGAAGGGAATTTCCTCAACATAGTGAAAAGTATATATGCAAAACCAAGAGCCAACATCATTCTCAATGGAGAAAGACTAAAAACAAATTATTAAAATGTTGCTATATGCAGATGATATGATAGTATACACAGAAAAACCCAATGACTCAGCAAAACTGTTAAGAGTTTAAGGCCAGTTTAGTAGCGTGGCAGGATATAAGATCAATATCCAAAAATCAATAGGATTCTTCTGCATTAACAAGGAGAACTCAGAGATGGAAATAAAGAAAGCAATGCCATTTACAATAACCAACCACCGGTTGAGATACTTGGAAGTGAATATAACTAGAGATACAAGAGACCTATACAAAGAAAACTAGAGCATTTCTGAAAGAAACAATAAAAAAAAAAAAAAAAAAAAACTAAAGAAATGGGGAAAATGTACCCTGTTCATGGAATACTCAATATGGTGAAAATGACAATCCTACCAAAAGCAATCTACATGTTAAATGCAATCCCAATCCAGATACCAAATTCATTTTTCAAAGAGATTGAAAGGGAAGTTACCAAATTTATTTGGAGAGACAAGAGACCCCGAATAAGCAGAACACTTAAGAGAAACAAAAATTACGTTGGAGGCATAGCACTCCCTGACTTCAAAACCTACTACACAGCAGTGATAACCAAAAGAGCATGGTGCTGGTACAATGACTGGCACATAGACCAATGAAACAGAGTTGAGAACCCAGAAATAGACCCAGCTCTATATGGTCAATTGACATTGGACAAGGAAATCAAAGCTATCAAATGGCGAAATGATAACCTTTTCCAACAAATGGTGCTGGCAAAACTGGACTTCCACCTGCCGAAACCTGAAACAGGATCCACTTCTCACACCATACACAAAAATCAACTCAACATGGATCAGAAACCAAAGCCCAAAACCGTAACGTTCATAAGAGACAAACTGAGATCAAGCTTAGATGTGTTAGTCCTAGGTATAAAGAGACTGCCAAATACAACCAGAAATGCACAATCTAAAGAGGATAAAATTGATGCATAGGACCTTCTAAAGATTAAATTTCTGTGCACATCAAAAATCTTTTTCAGCAGGGTAAAAAGAAAACCTACAGGGAGCAAACATTTGGTAATACCATCTCAGACAATAGTCTTATATTACACAGCAGTAGATAACTAATACATTCACCGTACGAGATCATTGGGAAAATTAAAGGAGCTAATACACCTAGGGGGTGGGGGGAAGAGTCTTATAACAAAAGTTTGCAGAATCTCTTGAGCCTTCACAAGAAAAAGACTGATAACCCAATTACAAAATGGGCAAAAAGACATGGAAAGAATTTTCACACAGGAAGATACTCGAATGGCAAACAGACACACGAAGAAATGCTCCAAATCACTGGCAATAGGAGAGATGTAAATCAAAACCACAATGAGGTACCATCTCCAGTAAGAGTGGTAAAGTTTAACAGGGCAGCAAGTCATAGATGTTGGAGAGGATGTGGTGAGAAAGGAACTCTTAAACATTGTTGGTGGGATTGTAAAATGATGCGACCATTCCCGAAAGCAGTTTGGTGCTTCCTCAAAAAAGCTGAAAATAGAAATTCCAGGGGGATGGGGCGGGGTAAAGAGGCGGAAGCAGGGCGGGAGCCGGGTTGGCTGGGGCGGCGGGCCGCGGAGCCC